CCGAGCCACGGCCGACAGGGAGCTCGCGCAAGCCGAAGTCACAATATACAGACAGGAGGGCGTGACGGCGTGACAGAGGGACCCGATTGGCCGGATGCCGGGCCTGGCGCGCAGAGATCGGCTTTCCTCCCGCAAACGCGTCTTGCAGGCGGCAGGCGGTTATCTCAGATTCCGCCTCTCTCTCCGGTCGGCCACCATGCCACCCGAGCATATATACCCCCCTCTCCTCATCCCTCCTCACCGCCTCCCCCGCCCTCTCCTCCCCGTCCGCCACTGCCGCCATGCTCGCTCAACTCTCCTCCGCCCCCGTCCACAGCGCGTCTCTCGTCGACCCCTCCTTCCACAACCCCGCCACCCTCCAGCTGATTAAAGTCGACCTATCGAGGAACTTCATTGGTCCGTCATCTTCCCGAACTGGCATAGCGCGCGTAGCTAACCATTCCCTCTCGCAGAGTACATCGTCGATGCTGTCGTCGACACCGTAGACTACGCTCTCGGCCGCCCGACGTCGTCCTCGAGAGGACGTTCTTTGTCCCGCCGTCCTGAGCATGTAAAGTTCTCAAACTTCGTGGCCGATGTCATCCACAAGGCCGAAGTCAAGCTCCCTTCTCTTCTCGTAACCCTGGTTTACATCAACCGCGCAAAACCGCACCTCCAGATCGCTCTAGAGCAGTGGGCGTGCGAGCGTGTCTTCCTCGGCGCGCTCATCGTAGCCAACAAGGTGTGTATACTATCTAGCGTGAATCTCACCATCGATTCTCACATTTCCCTTCCAGTACCTGAATGATTCCACGCTAAAGAACGTCCACTGGGCCCTCTGCACGGGTGTCTTCGGCAAGCGCGACATCGGTCGGATAGAACGCGAATTCCTTGACGTTCTCGACTTTGAGCTCGGCGTTTCCGAAGCGGACATCCTCGTCCACCATTCCGCAATCATGTCCTTCTCCCATCCCAGCCACCACATCCGTGCTCGCACGCTCTCGTCCGACGCGCGCGTCCGTCCAGAGTCGCCTTCTCACTCTCGCTGGAGCAGCGACTCGGACGAGATGGACCTCGACTCTGACTCGCTCTCATCCGACTCGATCTCACTGCCCTCCACGCCAGAGGACGTGGTGTCATATGCGCCTGCCCTCGGCAAGCCAGCTCTACTCGGGTCCGGATCAGCGCCCGTGCCGCAGTATGTCGTCCTACCGACACCCCCACAAGTGCACACCGCGCACGCACATGCGCAGCCCGCTGCATATGATCGGGCCGATGCGTATATTCCGCCAGCCGCTCCTTCACAACCTCAGCAGAAACCACGCCAGCGGAAGTCGACCGCCCTCCAACTGCTTCACTCATTTCCTATTCCGCATTTCAACTCCAAGCCAGCGGCAGCACAGCCGTCTGCGCCATCGTCATCGTCGTTCGCGCGTAATTCGTCGACGTCGTGTCGGCCATTACCGCACCCGGCACTCGCGGTGCCGTCTGCCGCGTACGCGCCCCAAGTCATTGTCTGACTCCTTGCCTCCGGATCTTTCTGTACACAAATTCCGGTGCCCCGCACCGTCCCCATCGCATCCTCCCATCTCCTGGCCGGCGAACGGCGGTTTAGTCCCGGAGCGAGATGGAGAGTAACTTATCGACAAATAGCCTAGAATCCACGTAGTTGTATTCGCTTCCCCCTCCAACGTACCCGTACATTGTAATCATTGTTGTCATTGTATGCATATATAACCCCACGACGTGTCATGACTCTTATCAATGCCTGTTCTCCGCTTACTGCTCAACCTTGTGCGTGTTGTCATCGTCGGCGCGATGGGATAATGAAGATGACTGCGTCCGTGACCGCGTCATCAGGGGCATCCGGGCGGCACGTGCGCCGCCGTTCTCCCCGAGGCCGTCGGTGTCTGTGACGCGCGCTCGTCCGAGAACGCCGACCTCGCGCCGTTCACTGGCATCGGACTCGGACTCGGACTCGGACTCGGCGCGCGGCTCTGCGTCTTCCTCCTCCTTCATGTCTTCTAGCTTGTGTATTTCCGCACACTAGCTCCTCAAGGCCCCAGCGCTCAGCTGTTTCGCCTTGTGATCCATCACACATGCACCGTTGCTTCACTCGTATTCAAACCGTGTCACCTCCCCTCCCTCGTGGATCGGCACAATCGCCGATGCGTTCGCCAGAGTTCCTGTCTCGCAAACAAAAATAAAAACCAAGGCCCAAATCTGCTATTTTTAATTTGGATCCGCTGTAAGGTACACAGGATTCCTCTCTGTTAGCTTTGTGGAACTCACTGCGATCCAGCCGCGCAGCACTCCACTGCGCACTGCGCCGCGTCTCTGGCCACCACGTCACTGCGTATTCCCGGTGGAGAATCTCTGCCGTGTCCGCTATGTTCGTCGGTGTCAGAGTGGACACCTTCCATGGGCTCAGGTATGAGCCGGTTACAATTGCCTAAAAATGACGCATGGTTATTTAAGCATCCACAGGGCATTCTCGACCTCGTCGGAGAGGTTCGGATGCTTTGGACGCCGTTCTGCAACTCGTACGACCGCACACGTTACAGGAAGCTATCTGCACGCATGATCTTGTGGCTCTGACCATATCTGTGAGATTCGGATTTGCACGCCGTTCTTTAGAAAGATGTGTCGTCCCGTGGAGCATGTTGCAGCGTGTCGCAGCGTGTTGCTATGGTATCTGGCTTGCATGCCTCCGGGGTCGTCTTTCTCCTAGTTCTCCCGTCACTCTACTGACCCCTTCCTGTGCGTAGGAGATGACGGGTAGATGCGGAGGGTACGTCAGTCTCACAAGTTTGCCGCTGGTGACTGCCACTGACTAGATCAGCATCGATGTCGCGGCGAGCTGGATCGGACAGACACTCTGCGCTCAGCAGTCAGTCATCACACACAATCGTGGCACGGAAGCACACCTGTTCGTGTTACTTACTTTGTATCCTCGCCGCTGCTCTGATGAAGATGGTGCATCACCGTTCATGCGTGCGGTTGTTGTAACAGCAGGAGGTTACAGCACAATCGTTTCGCTCTTTATTGTACTTTTCGGGGAGGAGGAAGCCTCCTTGGCGCTTGATCAAGAAGAGGTGCGTGCGATCTCTCAATAAGTAGGGTTTGAGGACGTGGTTTTAGAGATGGACGACTGGCATTACCATGCAGCGTATACATTTTGCGGCTCGCCGCGACGACTCTCGTCCGACTCTTGGTGCTCGTAGAGTCCCTCAAGGGCAATTCCTCCTCCACGTTTCTTTTCCAGCAGCTCTTGACGAAAACGAAGGACGCGTTCCAAGTCCGACTGGCGTGCGAGTCCAATTTTGTCTCCTCGCTCATGGGAATTACACAGTCTGGAATGCTACTTACAGCGGTGCGTTGCGGCAACCACGGGGTTGACAAATTCACGTCCCTCAAACTGGTTTCCATTCAAGATCACGCCGATCTGCTGGATCAAATTCCGCTCGCAGAGTAAGTACGTGGTTGTGATTCACACGGCGACGGTGTTACGGCGACGATAGGCAGTCCGGAGATGAAACGAGGATATAGTGCTCTGAAAGAGCGGTTCGCCGCATCCCGAGCACCGTTCGTTCGGGCGAGGCAAGATTGGCCTTTTTGGGCTAGATAAACCGCGGAGTTCATAGATGGGTGGTTTCAAACTTGACCGACATAATCTGAGGGACAATAAATCAGATATCCAATTTGTCCGTTGTTCTCCCCCGCAGAGACACCGAGCTGGACGATCAAGAATATGAGGTTCGTGAAAATGACCTGTAAACGAAGTCTCGGCAAGTTGTTGTTGTCTTGAACGAGAAAGGAAATCTACGTTCTAGATAACGCCGTGATCGAACGTGTTTAGATTATCGTGAATGGGAATTGTCCGTAGTCGTGTGGCACAAGGGTGAACACATGGCTGGTTGGACGGCTCTTGTGGTGATAATACAGCAGAGCAAGCTGAGAGGATCGGGTTGGCGCCAAGATAGAGCGCGGTGTTATATCAATGATCACGGTAGCAAAACTACCTAACCCTAAGGATCTCTCCTGCAGCCCTTGCAACGAACAAATGAAGATCCCCACTCTGCACCTGTGTCCAGCCACACCACGTTCATTTCATCAATACTCGAAATTGCCAGTACCATGGAAGGAAAGTACCGGCCAGAAGGCCTGTACGTTAGTCAGAATTCATTTATCAACGTCCACAGATGACACCGCTCACAAAAAGCCCCGGGAACTCATCGTGCCTGCGCCACGAAACAACAAGCAGCGATGGACGTCGCCGCCAAGGACGCGAGAGCATGATTGTTGCTCATTGGCATCCAGGCTCGCGAAATCCGCAGGAGGGGCACGCGCCTCCCAGCTCACCACGCCGCGAGGAACGTTCTCGTCCCCGGTGATTTTGACTGCGCGCAGAGAACGTCGGGTCTCGTCCCAGCCGACGAAGACACACTCCGTGCCATGTGAACTGTAGCTGCCCAGCCAGAGGCCGCAGAGCGACGCAGGGCTCCAGCTGTCAGAAGATGGACTGATTCCGCGAGGAACGCAGTGGCGTAGGGGGTAGTATCGAGGAGGGAACGGGGCGTCGTTTTTGAAGCCCAGGAACGGCTGCGACGCTTTTATGCAGCCGCGTTCACATGTGAGCGCGATTGCCCTGGGTTTCCAGCAGTCGGTGGGGACGGGAAATAGCTCGAACACACGCGGCCGGGAGCGCAGAGGAGACAAGGGTGGATAATGGGCCGACTTCAGAGACGTATCCGTCACGCGCGGGAGTGCGCGACATGTATCTAGCCACGCCGACAGTTCTGGATCGGGAAAGTCTGGGTGCATGAACTGGCCGTGGCGAGTGTGTAGGATGGTGCCCAACGCAGTCTCCGGCAAGACTTTGAGCTCCATCGCATGCTTTCTCGTCGCATCCACACAGCAAAAGAGCTGTGCTGAGAGAGCAGTGGCCGCGTCAGTGCGGCCTCGTACTAAATCCTGTTGGCTGAATCCTATCCAGACAAGGGGGACGAATTCCGGTGTCTCTGGCGCCTCTGGCTCGTCCCCGCTTTCCAGCTCAAGAACTCGAAATCGCCACATCTCCCCGACGATCCCTCCGGGTTGCTTCCCAAACCTTGGAACCACCCGAAATTCAAGGATGTTGCCTGTGAACGGGTGGTCGCCAGCCCAAAGGCCAAGCAGCGGGGAATATGGATACAATAAAGTGGTGAACAGCGCGCGGAAAGAATGTACGCCGAATGCTGTCGCATCGGGCACGCCATGATGACTGCAGAGATGTTTCCAGAACCACTCATCCTTCATGATCGTGTGCAGGGAGCTACAGGTGGAGAGAAAGTGAACAGCATCATTTACGACGAGGGAATCGATGATTTGGACGAGGATGTCATACGATAAGCCGACGATGGCTGCCTGCTCCAACCTCGAAGTCTTCTCTATCATGGCGATGACGAGGGCTCAGAACGTTTGTTGGCGGGTGGTGCTCAAGCTGAGATATAGCCTGAGATCCGTGCAGGCTCATTACGCACGCTCGGCAGCTTGCAGATAGCTCGGATCCCTTGCTTTCTTATCTTGTAATTTCCGTAATGACGCATGCTCAAAAGAGGGGTAGCCAGGATCATGACCGCCAGGCGTCGCAAGCGATTTGTGGGGAGTACCGAGTCAGTACGACATTTACGGGAAGCTGACGTACCTCGTTCGCGGTGGTGTGCCGTATGTAGGATCGCACGCGTGCCACTGGGCGTGAGTCCGGCGGACCAAGTATAGACGGCGTGGATGGAAGTGTGGTGTGCGGGAGTCCAGTCTGTTACTGTGATAAAGTTCGGCGTCGGCATTGGTTCGTGCAGAAGTCAATATCAACGAGGGGGAGGGGCCGCGGAGCGCGCACTTGGGCATACGAGCAGATCAATCAACTATGGACGCTCTGGACGGGAGTCGGGGGATTTGAGTTGGTACATACTACTATCATGATATAGAAGTTGTTAAGCATTGTGCTCGGGATCAATCAAGGGCCTGAGCGTTGTCTAGAGCAAACGCTTGCGCAATACAACGTGTCCTGGCACCTTACTTATCGGACGCGCTGCGAGACCGAGAGAGTTGTGAGAGAAGTGTAGCAAGTGCAAGTGTATGGACGTGAATCAATATTAATTGGTGTTGTATGCGAGCGATTGCAGCGGTGTCACCAACGCAGACCGAGTGGCTCGGATCGGTTGAGAGCTGATCCAGATCGGCTGTGCTGGAGGCGATGGTCGCGCGGGCGCAAAGTGCTACTGAACAGCGACGACCTCGACTTGCAGGTGAGTGCTCTTCTTCCGCCGCCCTCGCCGACGCTCACAGGCAAGCCAGCAGCGCCCCCGGGACTCGTGACGGCGCACGGGTTGATTGATGTCCACGCTCTTTCCACTCATTTACTATTCCAGTCTTCCTACTCGTCCACGCCCGTCTTCTGTCCAAGACTCTCTCTCGCACCCAGCTTGCACTTTACATTGTGCACATGGATGCCACCGCCGCCTTGGATGAATCCGCCGAGCTGTCCCTCCAGACCCCCGAGTCCTCCAGCTCGTCGCTTTCTGCATCTGCCGACTCCTCCGTGTCGGAATCCACGTCCACCTCCCTCTCAGCGACGACGCACTTGTCCATCCTCCGCACCTCGGCCTCGTTCTCGTCCGTCTCGCAGTCCAACATCACATTCGCCCCCCTCCCCACCATCGAGCCCCGCCGGCGCAAGTCCAACGTCCAGCTGGGAGTCGCCGCCCGCTCCCGCCTCCTCCAGCAGCGCAGGAACCTCCGCGACCAGGGCATCCACCCCGGCGTCGCCCACCTCCACTCCCCGTCCGACCTCCCGCCCCCCGTGCCCGTGTGGCACTCCGAGCTCGACGACGATTACAGCGGCGACGACGTCGAAGACCTCGGCCCCGACCCCGCCGAGGAGGCCATTGCGGCCATCGGCCGGCTCGTCAAAGGCGCGAGTCGCTCGCTCTGGCGCCGCCTGGCGTCGAAGGACGCCGCCAGGAAGGATCGCTCGTCCTCCACAGACGAGACGCAGCCCATCACAGAGAAGGGGCCTCCATCAGGATCGTCGTCTCCAGATCGCGCAACAGCATCTGCCGCGGATACGGCGGCGCAAGAGCCTCAGGAGGGGCGGGTGTGGGAGGAGGAGGTAGACGTGGGCAGATGGCAGCGCCAGGGAGCAGATCCTGCGCCGACGCCGGAGAGCGGTCTGACCGCGGAAATCAGCTCTGCGGGTCGCCGCTCTCGACGTGTGAGCACAATAGAGGCTCTTGGGATCAAAAAGTCGAAAACAACAGCCCGATAGCAGCGTGCACACGTATAGTGATTGTTAGTTCAAAGGCCTGGGTGGAGCTTGGAGGTTCTCGTTGTCGTTGTCGTCGTGTCTCGGTTCAGGTGTTGTTCTTCATTCCAGTCGATTTACAGCAGTGATAATCATTCTTGTATACCCGTCCTTTGCATACGGTAAATCGGTCCCATCATAATACAGTCTGTCCCTCGCAAGTGCGTCTCACATCTGACAATCAGTTCGAAGACGCACATATTATACCCAACACTTTGAGGAGAGCGATGATCTTATGCAGCATGATGTACAGCTAGCCAATGCTACCGTTTTCCTTCCAAGCTGCTTGGTACGAATGCCTGCGCTCACCACATCACCCACATGCGTAGCCTAGACATAGCCGTGAATTCCCCAACTTGTACGTCTGCTGTACAATGGTCGCCTATCATTGCCAGATCCTGTTTATACAATGCGTGTGATCCAAACCTATAGGCTGCAGTCGGTAAAACACAGAAACGGGGTAGAGTGAGTATGCGTAGCACTGTAATAAAAAATGTCCTAATCCAACGAGGCGATCGGGGAAAGACAGCATCAGATTAGCCTTATCGTTGCGCAGGATAACGGTGAGGATGAAGTACAAGTACGGGCATGAAAAGACGTGAAGGGGGAGTGACTGCAGTAGCACGGACAATGGTTACTCTATGGGTGGGGGCTATGATGATTCTGGCGATTCAGGCACTGGCTGCGCCCCGCGATTCGCCTTCTTTCTCCGCAATGACCGCGGTAGAGAGAATGACGGCAGCAGCGGGCCGTTTCGGTTCTTCCTACGAAGAGAGAATCGTGGTCGAGCTGGTCGTTCGGACAGATTCGTCTGCATCCGCTGTAGCGCCACACCGTTCTCCTCTGTCGCAAAGTCGAACCCGCGGCCTTGTGATCGCAAGCCAGTCGACATGTCGGTGTGGCTCCCAGCGAGCAAATTGTACGGTGGACGGGAGCTAGACCGGCGCGAGAGAGGTGACTTTTTGAGCTGACGATCAGCCCTGTACTGCGAAAAGTCGTGATGTGAATCAAGCTTGTGTTTCCATCGCACTCGGTCGACGTCGCTAGTGTCAAAGGCCAGCTTATAGGCCTTGCACAGATAACGCGGAAGAAGTGCCAGGATCACAGTTAGGAAGATACAGAACCAGAAGTATGCCGAGGGCCAGAGGTAATGGTCATTGCCATAAACGGGCGTCGCAAACCAACCCGGAGTAATGGCGGAGTATACAGCCTGAACAGCCATCAGTTTAAAAGCAGAAATTAATACATTGAACAGATGCTCACCGTATAGCCCCAAACCAACACGATACCCAGGGCGACGGCAAAGAAAACCCAGCCCGTCCACGCAGCGGTGGCGAGGCCGTTGAACAAGTTAGCAGCTGTCACAGCAGCGATAGCCATCGTCTAAAGTACGTGTAAGCCCTTGCCATCAGGTGATCATACGCTACTACAACGTACCGTCGCAAATTCGTATTGATAGACAGCAAATCCATCCGTGCGGGAAGTCGTCGTCTCATAAGTGTAGAAGATTAGGAAGAAAATCAGTGCAGACTGTAGATCACATTCAGTGTCATCCAGGAAAAGGTGCAGCCAGTTACCCACCTGAACGACGCCGTCCATCATGTAGATGAAGAACAGCTTGGTCCCATAGTATTCGCCTTTCCGACTGTGCCTGTACAGCTCCGGCAATGCCATCAGTACATGATCGTCTACGAGTTGATAATCAGCGTGCTGTTGCACGGGCGAACACACTACACGTACCGACATGGCGATCAAACAGACCAATTGCAATCACAGGGGCGATTGTGAAGAATGTGTTCCACCAGAGGAGATATGTGTACTCAAACACACTAGCAACCGATGAGCATCGTCCGCCTGACGTGTGATCCACGTCACTCACTATTGACTGCTCCAAGCGCAATAGATTTGGAACCACCACAGCACACCGATACAGATGATGTTCTTGTAGAAGAAATTGACAATCCTAGGGACGATGAGGAGAAATTAGTTCCGTTCGACTATTTATAGCATCACTCACATGCTGCCGTTGCGCGCATACGACCAGTGACCATGAACCAGCAACAACCTCTTCAAAAAGCGGAACTGACAACACAATGAGCACGAATGAGATTAGTGACACTACAAGCTCACCTGAGCAATTGCATAGTCCGAGGAGTTCGCCGCCTGCAAGCCCTCCTCGCCGGAAATGCCAACGCCCACATCGGCCGCCTGGATCATACTGACATCGTTCGCACCGTCGCCAATTGCCAATGTAATACAACCCAGTCCATCCTTGACGAGCTTGACGATGAGAGCCTTCTGCAGCGGCGATACACGACAACAAATCACGCCCTCGCACTGCATGGACAATTGCAGCAGCAGGCGCTTGTTGCGTTCATCGCTTAGCGCCTGTGGAGAGGTGACGGCCAACTCCAGCGAAACGTACATTCAGACTTACCACCGTAAGAGCACTGCCGTCGACGACCAGAACGTAGCCCCCCAGATTCTCGCCATCGCCATGTTGGAAATCTGTGAATCCGCTGTTGACTCTATGCAGGGGTACGGGACGCGGGCGCTGCGAAGGCAGCTGCCTGTCGAAAACGCCGTCCTCTTCCAGTATACCACTGTCCGGGAAGAAATCTTGGACTGCCGTTATCATCTGAGTGTACACGTCCCTGCTGCCGTCCTGCCCACCGCGGATAACGATGACGTTATCCTCGCGTCCGATAAGATTTGTGCTGTGACCGATAGCTAAAGCAAACATTTGAGCTTGGGCTGAATTGAACAAAACCTGCCAACGCACCAATCGCAGTCTCCACCTTGTCTCCGGTGGCAACCCAGATCTTGATGCCCGCCACCTTCAAGTCAGCAATGGTCTCAGGCACCCCGTCCTGGAGCCGATCTTCGATGGCAGTGGCGCCAAGCAAGTGGAGATCGCCCTCGATTACCTCGTATACGGCCTCCACCTTGCCCTCACGGTCTTCAAGAGAGACAGACGCCTCTTGATATTTGCGGTTCCATGCATCGTATTCTTCCTCTGTACGGTGACACGTTAGCAATGCTATTTCAAGACCCAAAGACCGTCCGCACCTGAGATGACCTTGTACGCCACGGTCAGCGTCCGGAGTCCTTCGCTCGCAAACTCATCGAGGTGACGCTCCGTCGTCTTCCTCAGTTCCTCATTGCCGGGTACGAGCCGCTCGAAAATGACATTGTCTGCGCCCTTGGTCAGTAAGAACAACCTGTCCCCCTCCTCTTCGTCGAGTTTCCGCACAATGACGCTCATGCGCTTGCGGGACGAGTTGAATTCCAGGATGTTCAGCAATTCGTATTTCTCGTACTCGTCTGCGAACGGGGTCTGCAGGGTGAGAATCTCCTTGTCGCGGCCGCGGAAGACGAAGCCGACATCGGCCGCGGCCTGAACGAGCGCCGCCTCGTCGGGACTCTGCGCTTTGTACGTGATCGCGCCTGTAGTTGGATCAACGGAGACAAGCGCCGTATGGCAGAGGGCGAGGGCGGCGAAGAACCCGTTAATTAAGCGAGCATGATGCGAGGCGTCCGGGTCGGAACGTGCGGACATGGCAGCCATGATGTCATTGCTGAGTCCGGAATCCTGGAAATGCGTGAGCACGCCCTCGGCAAGGCCCACGACGCTGGCAGCGAGCGGGTCGGGGATATCCTCGGAAGAGGAGGACGTGGGTGTCTTCTTCCCATCCATGAGCACAGGTGATGGCGTCTGGGTCGCCCCATCGCGTCCCTCAGGAAGCGCAATCTTGGTGGATGTGGCCTCGTCAACAAGGTCGCCTCGATATGCCTTGCCTCCCACCGAACACTGTCTGAACACCATGGCGTTCTGTATACACGTGTGTTCGTCAGTAAGACGTCATACGAGTACCGAGGACGTACCTGCGTCAGAGTCCCAGTCTTGTCAGAGAAAATATACTCGATTTGGCCCAAGTCGTCCGAAAGATTCCAACTCCTGGCGAGTGTCGGCGTTTGGGTCTTCTGATAGACCATCTCGTGATCAAAATAAATAAATAGAGCCTGACATGTCCGTACGGCTTCTATCGATATATATAGAGAAATTGGGACAATGTTCTGAAATCTGTGTGCAGGAAATTGAGTATGGGCGATCGAATGCAGAGTATATGGACACGGACGTGATCAATGCAAATGCAAAAGTGATTACTCCGTTCACGTGCGGATTGTTGTCTGACTGGTTATCTGCAAAGAGCCAAGGGGCATTGCGCGGGAAAAAGCGCTGCTCGAGCACAGCATCCACGATCCCGCACACAGTCGCCATGACCGCCAAAATAAGCAAGTTGATAAACCTGATATCGCATCGCAGTCAGCATCTACAGCAGAGCAGGAAAGCATAGCATACACTTGGGGATTCATTTGGCGTTCGACCTTGCTCCGCTTACTGGGCGCACCTCCAGAGTTGAGCACAATTTTCGTGTCATGACCAGTAAAGAGAACGAGACCAATAACCCAGCGAGTGTTTCTGAGCACAGAACCCCTGAGGAGAATCATTTGCGAATCTACAGGGGTCTTGGACCCCTTTTCCATTTCTATGGCGGCATTGAGTTTGTACAGATTGGTGTCTGGTCTGTCGCAATCGACACGAAAGTTGTTGATGGGATCAGCGCAAGCAGCAGCGGAACGCAGATGGGTCAAGACGGGCGAGGCGGTGCGGGACTTGAGACTTGTCTCGCCGTCGAGATTCTTGGTCTCGACATACGCAACGTTCTCTTCCTCAGACGTAGCACAAATGAGAATGTCTGCAGGAAACGACTCATTGTCCGTGATTTTGACGAAGTCACCAACGGCAATGTCCTCCCAGGCAGTTTTCTTCCAATGGGGCTGTTCGTGATGATTGTGAGATTTGCCAGTGATTGTGCGGAAGAGACCGGCGTCATGGTCCTCCTCGTCGAACTCGATGCTGTCGTCTACGCCTACCTGATGGTCCTCTTCCCTGGCTGATTGCATGAGTCCCTCTGGGGGAGCCCCACGCTGAAGTTCGAGGGCCTCTACATCGGTGGTCTTCTTCGTCCTCTTTTTGAAAGCCTGGAAAGCGGGAATGATAGCGGGGATAAACGTCTTACTCTTGCTCTCCATAGGATTGGTATTGGACCAAGTCCCGCCATTGAGCACACGAGAACGGGAGCGGTTGATGTGGTGATCAGCCTGATGCCGTTTGAAGTCTTCGTAGCCGTCTTTGAGAGCTGTGATGGCGAGGACGAGTAGCAGGGGGAGGATGGCAAGGCCAGGGGAGACGGTGGGAAAGATGGGGAAGAACTGGAGGATGGCGATGGCGAGGAAGAATATGTTCGCTATGCGCCTGAACTGCTCGAGGAGGTTACGAGGAACGAAGGTGATGATAGTGTATTTGGAGGTGATGACTTGATTAGAGGAGAATACATATTGTTTCTTGACCCTGCCCTTCTGGTCACGGTAGTCGTCTGGCAAGGGCTGGTGGACAAATACGGAACGAGGGGGCCCGGGTTCCCTTGATCTGGTGAAGAGGGCCTCAACATTGAAGTTGACGCCCTTGTTGTACCAGGTTTCGAGCTTGGTACGGAGGGCGGCCATTGGGACCAGGGAGGAGGAAAAGGGAGAAGACGGGATGCTGGCCGAGGGCAAGAGAGAAAGACGGCGGCATCTCTGAGGAGCGAGTCCGGCGCGCATGGGTCAGCTCCGTTACCCCGGTCACACTTCCCGTAAGCTCCGTGACCCGCACGTCACACCCGCACCGACGCCCGAAACGTGTCGCATGACTGACTCATCGCGCTGACTTCTGCCTCCGTCACGCGTCATCCCGCTGAGTCCAACCAGTCCGACAGTCCGACAGCAAGCTTGGTCTTCGTCACTCCAGTCTGCGAGTCGCAGTCCCCGCACCGACTCTGAGTTCGTTCGTCTCCATCGCGGCCATCACACCATAACCCTTCATCACCAACAATGACATATCTATCAACGTTATGTCTTCTGAATCTCCAACTCCCGGCCGCCCACTAGTGGAAACTGTGTCATGTGTGTGTATGCATCTCATAGACCCCATCCAGCCTCATCACGCTGTCGTGTTCAACCTTTAGAGCTTCAGAGCCGGCAGAGATCGGCACTCAGTCGTATGTTCGCGAATGAGCCTGAGTCACACTTTCCATGCCAAGGCAGACCCACCCACGCTGCACCGAGAGTCCTACCGATTTTTCTCAGAAAGTAGAACAGCAAGTAGTACTGTACGAGCCAAGCATAGACTACGGCTGTTGTGGCATTTGGTCCCCTCAAACGTGTCTCAATCACAAACATATACCGGTTCCAGAAGCTAGTTCATACATGCACACACTTGTTTCATTGACTGAAGGTAATTAATATCATTGCTTAGCTCTTGACATACTAAGCCTACGAAATTCATGTGTGTATTTTCAAACATTCTGCATCAACTGGTGATAATTCCAAAAAACTTTGATCAGATTTGTGCCATAGGGAGCCCAGGTACTGAAAAGGTTGCATCACTGGTGCAATGATAGTACCCTCGTACATCCTAGACACACGGGATTCTTGGTCTTGTCCCCAGATAGACCCAGTATTCCCGTGATGTCCATAGCTATCCCGGAACGTATCACCGCTACGTCTGGCCGTCTGGCCTGTGCCCGGAGCCGACTTGATACCTGGATCCATCTCCGAGACGTTGCACCTGGAAGCTCTAGGCTGCTAGTATTGTCTTACAGAATATATCCTCAGTGCCGGAGTGGCCTTCGTCCAGCACACCGCGCCAATTTAACACAGGTGTTAGAAAATGAGTCGAGGGCAGTCTGCGAGTGGCTTGCGTAGTGCATCGATGGTGCCAAGTGTGTTCTCCATGAGAACGTCTCGCTGAGAGGCGCGAACTTGATTTCGCGACCCGACCGGCGTTCGCCGTCTCCGCGTTCGCACTGGCACAATGCGCTCACGATTTTCCAACTCTCTCGACGCGTGCTTATATGTATACTTATACGGCGGCATTGTATACTGTCTTTCATAGGTTTGCACTCACACTTTTACATATTGACCTGGGCATTCTCTTTCTAAAGCCAACAGTGAGTCGTGTCTACTAGGCGCACATTGGCAGTCGCCGTGAGCAAAGTAGGAATCGGATGGTTGGTACCTTGTGGCTATAATCGGCGCAAGGTAATCTCAGCTGTGCATACGGATGTGTACAATGCACTACTTTCCATTGACGACTCTGAGGCGCGCCTTTTATGTTGCAACTGTCGATGGTGAGACCTGAAGCTGAAGACCTACTGATATCGATGTGTTCCTAGAAAGCATGTACAGGTCGGGGTACATTAAGCTGATGCAGCTTCCGACTGCCCCACACGCGTCTCGATAAACACATTCTTCAGCAGCCGTTCTTCATCAATGCACATACTCGTTGGCGGTCCACCGATAATCCTCACCAACGCGTCCTTATCCACCAGATGCACTTTCTGTGCAGAAATCCCCGCTTGCCAGAGATTTCGTGCAATGCTCCTCTTTGTATCCTCACTATACCTCTCGCACGCCCTCGACACAATCTCCTCTGTGTCCTCTGTGCACTCTCGCTCCCGTTCATCCCCATGTCGTTTGCTACATTTTGGACGTGCTGCCATGATTTTCATCGCACGATGTATGTCTTGATCCCGAACAGCTTACAATTTTTCAGGAGCGTGATATCCACAGCCGTGAGGCGATTGTCGACTAGGATGACGACGCAGTCAAACACGTACATCCCTTGGGTGGTGAAGTACGTCTCTCCGCTCACGGAAAGCGTTCCCGCACCGGGCACGTCGTACCACACGAACGGGTTCTCTGGCTTCGGGTCGGGATAGCGCGGAATGATTGTCGTCGTTTCTACCACACCAACGGGTGCGACGGCCGGATCAGACGTGCTGTTTCGCAGCCCACGAACGACGACTTGCCGCTCCCGGAGACCCCTGCGACAGCGAAATGCAGTAGACCTGGGCGGTACTTGACTTGCGTCTTCACTTTCTCTAGCTCTTGCACCGAAGGAATGCGGACGAGCTCCACCCTGCCTTGCAGTACCACGTGAAAAGGCCTATTCTCATTGATCGCACGCTGTATGTCCTCCCACTCCCTATCCGCACGCTGCAGGTTCAGCCGCGTCTTCGGCACTTTCCTCTCTGCCTTGTTCCGCTCCTCCGTGAGTCGCGCCAGCGTCTCCTCCGCCGCCTCTGCCGTGAGCTTGTGGAAGGCTCTTGCAGCCTTGGCCTTCAAGTACCCCGCTCATGCGTAGACGATCCGCTCGAGCTGCTTGCCCTCGTGCTCCTTCGCGAGATCCTCGAGCTCTTGTAGAACAGGGTTGGGGCCGAGCCTACCCGCCGTCACCAGCTCATGGATGGCGTCGAGCGCCGTCAGGATGACCATCGAGCCGAGGATCGCGCCTGCTGGGCGCACCATCACGGATGGTCCCCCTCTCATTGGTATCCGTGGATTGTATCAAACAAGTTGTAAAAGTCGTGCAAAAGCAATAGCCAGAATGTGCAGCATCAAACTCGATAGGCGGATTGTCCCCGCGCGCACGCGAGCAATCGAGTCAAGTCAGTCTCTCCTCGATGAACACCAGCAGCGAAGGGTCGAGGGTTTGTGGATGTATTTGCTGAACGGCATGACATCCACGTTCTTCGAAGACCGGAAGCTGGAGTTTAGGGGATTCATATACCAAAACCTTGGACCCGTCCTGTCGTATGGAGTCTACACTATTATGTCTTGCTTATCGGTGGTGAGTCGTGGCGCTCCCAACATCACTATTCACTTACAAGCCGGCCGCGCCCTAGATGGTTGCATTGACATCGGTCGTGTATTCGCGTTAAGCTTAGTAGTAAGTACTTTGTTCGATTGACTGCATAGTCTTCCCATGATTCCCATGTAGTAATCTCCTCGCAACAAATAGCTTCCGCTGGTATACATGCGCAAGTCATCTTTTTGAGGGTCTACAGCCACAAAGGCGACTATGTAGTGAGGAAGACCAATATTTTGATCCACTACTATTCTTCACAGCGTCAAACGACGAAAGCTTGCCCCATAGATACTCCCCGCATTATGCCGGACCATCTGGTACAATTGTTTCACGAGCAAAGGAAGCGAGTGACATGCAACCACCCAAAGGGTATCAAGATACGCGAGTGTTTATCTGCTCATGATGGAAGAGCGAGCAGGCTAACGGTGCTTCGTCCTAGTGGGGCTGTGGTATCGGCTAGACATTCACGGGACCAAGGTAAAATGTAATAAGCCCAAGTATTCCTACCGCGTTTGAAAAGAATACAAGCCTTGTTTGCCGGGATCGCCATCACGAAGACTTGCAAGGCGTGTGCCACGGACAGCACCGAATGCTGGAGGCGGCTAAAATGTCCGATCTTGCGCTTCTTGCGGTTGCTGAAGCCTCATCATACAAGTTTTATTGATGCGCTCCTTCCGCCGGCGTCGTATATTCGAGGATGATGGCTGCGAGCAGTAAGCACAGGTCCAGACAGACCACGAAGATGTGTCTCGCAGACGCAACCGGTGTGTCTGCATACTCGACTTCGCAAAACAGACTACCTGGTCACATATGAGGTGCGCAAATGTCTCCAGGTCCGACAGACAAGTAGCAGTCGTCTACTTACTTCATCGCCACACCCCTCAATCACCAACACAATCCCTACTCACAACAAGATGTCTGCTTACCCGTCGCCCTCCGCCTCCGCATGGCCCAATCTCGGCCTCTCCTCTGGCCTCACTGAGTTCAACACTGCTCTGAGCCCGGGGTTGACTGCAGTAGCCGCCCTCCTGCTCGCAAGCCTTTGGTTCCTGCCACTCTTCACCAAATTCGACGCGCTCGGCCGCCGTCCAAGGGACAAGGATGGCAATCCCATCCCAGACGGTCCCGTAGGCCTCCCGCTAGTCGGTAGGTGCTTTTGATGCCACGCTGGGACCATTGTCGATACTGACTATTGGACATGCTCGTTCCCCTTCTCGACACACTATCCTGAGCTGACCCTCAATTGCTGGCGCAAGAAGTTCGGTCCCCTCTACTCAATGTGGCTCGGGAACCAACTCTTTGTTGTCGTCTCCGACCCTGGCATCGCCAAGGATCTCATGGTCACGAACGGATCCGTATTCTCGTCTCGGAAGGAGATGTTCATCAAGAGCCAGCTCGCGGTGAACGGATACACCGACGTGCTCGACCATGAGGCGACGGTGATGG